GCATACTTACTGATGCTCCACTCTCAATTCTAAACTGCTCCGCCCCACCGGTCACTGGATTCTCCCGCCTGCAGCTCAGTCCCCCCTGCTGGTTGCTGGCAGCATGCTTCCTCCGTGTCCCCTCTGATCCCTGCCGACACACAGGTGGGGAGAGCAGCAGGGATCGAAGGGGACATGCAGGGGAACACATTGCTGGTGCCCAGTGGGAAGGATCGAGTGGCAGACAGGAAATTACAGAGTACCGGAAGTGGCTATGACAGTGCGGCAGTCTTGGGGGGGGAGAGACTGCAGGGCATTCTGGTTTTGAATAAACGTCCGTCATCAGCAGCTTGTGACACCTAGTCACGAACACAAAAGTGTTACGGGGATGTTCGGTTATAAATTCATAGCTGCTGAAGTGACGGTGAGCTTATAGCAGAAGGCTGAATGCAGCTGAAAAAAGGCATTTCAGCTGGCCAGGGTTGTCGATGAAACTCTGGTATTAAACCATGCTGGGGTGTACCTAGGTGGACTAGGTGGCCCACCAGGTTCCCAATAAGGGCAATCCCTCACCGCAGCGGTTGTATGAAATGCGCCTCAAAGCTCCCAAATTGCAGCATGACCCAATGTACCTAAATACAAATCCCAAAAATGTTGGCTATGTATAAAAAGTTCAACACTATGATATAGGTCCTTCATTCTACTCACCAAGGTTCAGTGGCTTGTATTCACAAACATTTTTCAATAGGGCATCCATGTTAGCGATTATCTGTTCAAGAGGCATATCCAACTGGAAGACAAGGTGAAAAATCATCATTCTGCATGTGCACACCAAAGTCATATTCTCATGTACTGTAAGTAGTTAAAAAAAAAATATTTTTAAATGACCTAATACTAAACCTTTTATTTTTTATGTCAAACTCTTGAAATGGTGTGTGTAACTTCAAATTGCTCTTTGTCACAAATAAAATTAAGGGCAGGGCAACCCATGCCCCCTCCTTTTGTTATCATGTTAGGAACCACAATATTTTGGTGTCCCTGAATCGCTGAATAATTCCAAACCAAAATCTGGGATCCTTAAAATATGGCAAAAAGACTGACATTAAAATGCCAGTTTAAGGTCATGTTATTTTTAAAAGAAGAAGAAAAAAAAAGAAAGAAAAAAGAAAAATGTGCACTTTGGATAAACATAGTTGCAGCAATTCATCAATATCATCCATCCTAACGAGTCTGGCATTTAATTGTTCTAGGGCCGCGCTGGCTGCTGGTGTGTGATGACAGGTATTGTGCTGATGTACCGATTGTGGCACATCGCATTGTTGACTTTTTATTTTTTTCTATTTTTGTTAGAACTTTATGAAATGTCACGAGTGACACCACGACTTTCAGAATACAATAGAAAGGCAGGAGGGATTTCTCCATCAATGGTCTTAGCATGGATAGCGAAATCAACTGTATGGGCAGCGTGTTCCCAAGAATGCAGATGTTGATTTCAAAGTTTATCATATATATATCTCTATATATAGAGTATAAAGAGATATATATATAGATATCTGCCGGGGAGCTTCAGGACCTTTCCTCCCTGCTGGAAGATGGAAGAAGCGGACCTCCGCCAACACAGCAAGGCAACCAGCAACAGAGGAGCGGTACACAGAGGAGAGACCATCGACCATAAGGCCGACCGGTCAGGAAGAAAAGGACAAACGTGACGAAGGTTCCTGGACGCTAGGAAACACAAAAAAACTGAGGTATGAGGGGGGTGGGAGGGTATTTAACTGTTTTTTAATTGTGTTTCCTGTTGAAGGAGGAGCCAATCATCTCTCAGGTTGCTGGCCTGGAAGATGATTGGAGAAATATATATATATATAACAGCTAAACAGCTCATGTAAAGACAAACTCCATTAAGTGCAATCATCCTGATATAGTTTTAGAAAAAGCACAACTCTTTCTGTAAAATATATTTTTTATGGAATTACAGTTTCTTTTTAAGCAAGTGTGGACAAGACTTAATTTAGTTGTGTGTGTATGCGTGGGGTCTTTGCTCCCCTCATGCCACCACTGGGTAGGTCTAAATCAGGAATAAAAAATCAGCACTCATCATACAGTATCAGTGTCATCAGTCAGCATGATGTAGCTTCTTTACTATAGGAAAAGCATGAAAACTAGGTAACAATTTTAAAATGGACCTAAACCTAAATTACAAACCAATATGCCTAAAATCAGCCCTGTAATACTTTGGTCTCTTCCAGTTTCAGTGTTACTTCCAGCCCTCGGCTCCAACCTAGGATAGGATATGTGTGCAGGCAGCACTACTGCTCGTCTGACTTTGAGTTAGCAATTAGTAACACTTCTTTCTCATATATATCCCATGCTGACCAGCAGCACTAGGATCAGAGCCAGAACAAGCCCAGAGGCATTATTAAGTAGTATTAACGGGCTGACATAGGCATGATAGATCAGATAGAGAAGAGAGAGTTGAGAATTGGCTAGATTATTTTAACATGTAGGTCTATTTTAACTGTATCTGGTTATTTTGGTCAATCAATAAAATAAAAATGCATTCACACTAATGTCCTACCTTTAAAATGGATCTGCTGAGGTAAGACAGAGACAAACTTTTAGCTGCACGTTCACACCACTTCTTTGTCAATGATAAAATTGTGAGACTGCTGTGAGGAGTCCAGAATCTCACTGTTAGATTTTCTGGACTTGCAGCAGACAAAGTAATAAACAATCACACAAACAATGAGGTAGAGCCCCACGATCAACCACACCAAAGATCCTAACACAATGATGCAGGCTAATCCCCACTCCATGCCGTCACAAACTGGCTCCCCTTCTTCTTCCTTCCTCAGCAAGGGAGACAGGTAAAGGAAGACATACGGGAGGCGAGGCCAAGCAGATTGAGCAAGGTAAGGCAGCCAATGCCAACATACTGCGTTGGCAAAAAAATTCCAGAGTAAAAAAAAAAAAAACCCCACAGACAGCTCAATCTAGAGATTGTGAAACAATGGGAACACATTAAGGCGTTTCCAGTTTGATTAATAACAAAGTGTACCTTAACAGACATTTACAGGTCAACATAATAACAAATGATATTTATAATGTTAATTAATGAACCCTTCTAAAAGTATCCTGCCGCTAACATAAAAAGTAATCAACAAACATGAGGAACAGGTTAGGCAGGAACTCTAGCACTATTAAAATTAGGACATCCTCTGAGACAAACTTCTGGAAAGCCAATAATAAATCATTAACCGTCAATTTCTTAGGAACACTTATACATGTGTTTGCTCATTCAATTATCTAATCAGCCAATGATGTGGCAGCAGTGCAATGCATAACATCATACAGACACAGGTCACACTCATCAAAGCCAGAATGGGAAAAAATGTGATCTCAGTTGTGTGCCAGAAGTGTTACATACAACAGTCTCTAGAGATTACGCAGAATGGTGTGAAAAACAAAAAACATCCATGGAGCGATGATAAGCCTTTGTTGATGAGAGAGGTCAGAGGTAAATGGCCAGATTGGTTTGAGCCAACACAAGGGCTAGGGTAACCACCCTTTACACCTGTGGTGAGTAAAATAATATTTCAGAGTACACAACCCGTTGATAGTTTGAACGTGCCCCAAGACTGGTAAAATGTAACACGGTGTGATGAATCTCAGTTTCTGCTGAAACTAGGGCTGCAACAACTAATAGACTAAATCGTTTATAATCGATTATTGAAAAAGTTGTCAACTTTTTCAATCATCGATTAATCGGCTTCCGATTGGTTGGCCCTGTTGACAGCTACACACACGCTGCGTGCCAGACCCGCCCTCCCACATCCACACGCCGCACCTCCTCCCCGCCTCACGCTCACCGCACACCCACAATCGGCACAGGGACGCGGGGAGAAGGAGGAGCAGGTGTGGGGGGATGACAGCCGGCGATAGACAGGCCCGATCTCAGAAGCGAGTTGCTGGAAGACTGCTCAGGTAAGCCTGCACCCCACATGGTGCTCTATAATGTATTGCTGGGATTTGTATTCCTCTATAGCTGATGGTACATTGTGCTGTACTGTACATTGAGTGGCCAGATTATTATGACCACCACATCAGTACTTCGTTGGGCCACGAGATGACTCCACGAGATGTCTTCGTTGGGCCACCTCGTGACTCCACAAGATGTTGAAAGGTTATGCGAGGAATCTGACACAAAAAGTGTGTCTGCTTGAGGTGGGGTGGGCTGGAAGTATGGCCATAAGGGAGCTCCATCCATATGTGCATTGTTTACAGCTCCCACATTTGCCTTGTAGAGGTGCCTGGACTGATGTCACATTCTGGCTCCTGGCACCTCTACACGGTGTGCAAGAGAGCTGAGGATCCACTCCAGTTCTCATAAGGTAGGGAGACTGGGTGGATCTTAAAAAAAAAAGAAAACAATTATAATTTTTTTGGGAGTGTGCATGTGTGTGTGCGAATGTCTGTGAGTGTGTGAGATTGTGTCTGTGGTTGTGTGTGTCTGTCAGTGCTTTTGAGGGTCCTTTCACACAAGTACAATGTGTTAACCGCTCAGTCCCATGCAATTAATGCACTGTACCACACAATCGCACCTACTGTGTGTTCTGGTGTGGAAGGTGCATTGCGTTGCCATTAATTTGAGTGACACCTCAAATGCACCTCCCACCCACAGGCCAATCGCCTGCACCCAAACGCCCAGTACTGCAAAGCTGTGCATTCCATTGCAGTGCGACGTGGGTCGCAACTTAATGACCAAGGACAAATATTGGTCCTGATGTTACACAGGTTGAGAACCACTGATTTAGAAGATAAAAAAACATAACATTTTCTAGGCCTTGCTTGAACTTGTTAAAAGAGTAGGAAAAGGTTATTAAAGGCATGACAGGGATGATAAGTGTAGGGCTGCAACAACTAATTGACTAAGTCGATTACAATCGATGATGGAAAACGTTGACAATGTTTTCCATCAATTAGTTGGCATTTGATTAGTTGCCCTGCTTGCGGCGTCTCGCACGCTGCTTCTCCTCCCCGACTCACCCAGCTCTCACTGACTGATCCAGTTCAAGGAGGTCCGTCCACATATTCCATATTCAATGTACCCCCCGCCCCCCGGTACATTGCGCTGGGATTTGTATTCTTCTATAGCTGACGGTACAATGCGCTGTATAATGTATTGCTGGGATTTGTATTCCTCTATAGCTGACTGTACAATGCGCTGTATAATGTATTCCTGGGATTTATATTCCTCTATAGCTGACTGTACAATGCGCTGTATAATGTATTCCTGGGATTTATATTCCTCTATAGCTGATGGTACATTGCGCTGTATAATGTATTGCTGGGATTTGTATTCCTCTATAGCTGACTGTACAATGCGCTGTATAATGTATTGCTGGGATTTATATTCCTCTATAGCTGATGGTACATTGCGCTGTATAATGTATTGCTGGGATTTGTATTCCTCTATAGCTGATGGTACAATGCGCTGTATAATGTATTGCTGGTATTTATATTCCTCTATAGCTGATGGTACATTGCGCTGTATAATGTATTGCTGATATTTGTATTCCTCTATAGCTGACTGTACAATGCGCTGTATAATGTATTGCTGGGATTTATATTCCTCTATAGCTGATGGTACATTGCGCTGTATAATGTATTGCTGGGATTTGTATTCCTCTATAGCTGATGGTACAATGCGCTGTATAATGTATTGCTGGGATTTGTATTCCTCCATAGCTGACGGAACATTGCGCTGTATAATGTATTGCTGGGCGCTGTCCTTCCCTCTGGGGGGTGGCTACTTTTGTTCCCCATGGTCCCCATGTGTGCTATAAAGTAGCCACCCCTCCAAGTTTGCTCTCGTGATTGACAGAAATCTGAATACAAACTAGGAGCAAATGTTGATTAATCGAACTTAATAATCAGCTAACAAATCGATTATGAAAATAATCGTTAGCTGCAGCCATAGACAAGTGTAATATTTCTATAAAAGTTAACATGTGTTTTTAATCCGATATTAAGAACAGTAAACTATCCCACAGGAAACAGCTGGTTTATCACACGCAGACAATATTCTTCAGGAAACATGCACTTTGAAATTTGAGCGCCAAAATTTCTGTGGACTTACTGTTGCTATTTTAGTCCGGACAATACACTCCCTTTCTACAATATATTCATAGCTGGCTTCAAACTGCTTAATCATGTTGGCAATGTCATTACCCACAGAACCTACAATAAAACACAAGAGAGGACAATGAAGCTTAAAACAAAAAAAAACTTTAAAAAAAAAGAAAGAAGAAAAGAGGGTGGTTTTGGTTTCATATATGAAAATGCAGATGATGAAGATGTCCAAATTGCAAAAAAATAAACAAAACAATATTAATAAGTACTTAAAACATAATTAATTAGTCACTATAATAGCTCCTGTTGAGTTTTTAACTGGACCCTAAGCTAGCTGAACTACATGCAAATGCTTAGAATCCTCAGGACATGTGGTCCCTGGCTTGGTAGGCATTCCAACTTGATATGCTAGCACACTGGAATACCAAGCAAGCATTAACCCCTTGCCACCCGCCCATCGTAAAAACACGAGCAGGCAGCGGGTGCTTCCCGGTGGGTGGACGTACATTTACGTGATTTGTTTTCTGTTCGCGGGCACCCAAAAAGTTTTAAGTTCCCCGCCCCCGCGTGCACACACTTATAAACGTAAATACGTGCGAAAAAAACGATTATGTCACACGTTACATATCTCTGCGAACGTCGCAACGAGAGCAATAATTTTATAATATAATAATATAACAATATAAACCACTGATAACCCTAAACTGATGAGCGGTAAAAGTTTTTAAAGCGTGACCTATGGCTAATTTTAGGCATAGAATTGTTTTGCAATTTTGCGGACGCACGCAATTTTAAAACTTGACATTTGGTGTCTATTTACCCGACGTGACCTCATCTTTTATGTTTCACCAAAAAGTTGGGTGCTGATTAATGTTTTATAACATAACGTAGGGAAAAAACAGTTTTGGTTTTTTTTCCAAAAGTTTTTTTTTTTTTTTCATTATATTGTACAAAATGAAAACCCCAGTGGTGATTAAATACCACCAAAAGAAAGCTCTATGTGTCCCCAAAATATGGTATAAAAGTATATTCAGTACAGCATTGCATGGCATAATAAATGTCAGTCAAAGTACCGCAGCGCTGAATACTGAAAAATGGCCTGGACAGGAAGGGGGTTGTTAAAGAGAGCACTGTATTAACTGCCAATCACATACCTGGTTTAGTAGGCCCATCCCATAATGGGGAATCCAAGAATCAATAAACAAATCTATATTGCCAGTGATTATCAGAGTCCCTCATTGAATTACTTTTAACTAGGGATGCACCAATACCGATACTAGTATTAGTGCCGATACTGGTACTCGTGAAAATGCCCCGATACTAAATGCAGATACGGGCCTTTAATTGTTTTATGGATTTGGTTGCCATAAGGGTCCCGTGCTTGCTGGGGAGATCACAGCGCCTGTATACAGGGCCGGCCTGCACATCTCCCACCTCCTGAGATGAACACCAGCACTGACTGCTGGACCAGCCAGGAGAGGCACCCAGACACCGACACCATGTACCTCTGAGGAAGTTAAAACTTAATTATCTGACTGCAGAGCATGCCTCCTCACCCCAGCCATAGTACGATACCTGACTGCAGAGCATTCCTCCTCACTCCAGCCATGGTACATTATCTGACTGCAGAGCATTCCTCGCCATCCCAGCCACAGTCCCATATTATCCGACTGCAGAATATTCCTCCTCATCCCAGCCATGGTACCTTGTTATCTGACTGCAGAGTGTTCCTCCCCATCCCAATCATGGTATTTGAATGCAAAGATTTGTAGTCCTTTATAGCTGGTGGTATTCTGAATTTCTGTATAATGTATTGCTGAGATTTGTAGTCCCTGTACAGCCAGTCAGTGGTAGAATTACTAGGGGCGAAGCATTTGCAGCTGGGACCGGGCCCTGGCGCTCCAACAGTGTCCTAACCATTAGTCTGTATTGTTTTAGAAAAACTGTCACATGACACTTAAAAAAAGTTATCGGTAATTGGTATCGGCGAGTTCTTGAGGAAAAGTATTGGTACTTGTACTCGGTCTGGAAAAAATGACATTGCATCCCTACTTTTTTTTTTAACATTTCGGTTGGGGTTCATGTCAATGGCATTCTAGGCGTCTTCCATTCAAACACAACTAGCTGTGTTTGGAAGGAAAATGCAGTGTTTGACACAAAAAGGTTCTGTTTGACTTGCCTGCAGTTCAAATGCATCTTGATGGAGTATGCTGTGTCCAAAGAGCAACACAAAGCAGGACAAACGCAGCCTCTGACCTCTCGCGTGTACTGCTCAATTAAAGTGAAATCGGTTTTGGTGACCTGCGCAGGAAAACAACGTCTACCGACATGAGCCTACAAGCATTTTGCACCTTCAGATGAGGTGGCAAACTGCTGTGAACTAGATTTACTCTTATACAACCTCCTAACATTTTGCTAAGAATCGAATCTTATAGTTTTATTCAGTAGTTTTATATACCGTAAATGACATGAGTTTTCCAAGAAACCAAACTTTAAACCATTGCTGCAATTCAGGTAATTTATTAATGATTGCACTGGTCTGTTTTCTCATTTCTCAAGCCTTTTTCATTCTTCATAATATTAGCCTTTGTTCTAGTCCGCTACATGAAATGGCAATGAAGAACCATTTGTCTAGGTCATTGCAAGGGGAATCTTCACTCCGCTCACGCTTCGATTTCTTAGAAAGCATGTTGTCATGCTATGCCCTCCAGGGACAACATTACCAAATCAAAGTCTTCTAAATCTTCTTCAGTTATTGCTCACAGCCATGTCCATGCTAATTTTCCTGAAGGTCACCTTGGCCATTTACTTTCAGCCCACTCTGCAATGTCTCAGACACACCTTACCAGAGGTAGTTGGTCCTTTAACTACCTGCAGCATCTGCTACCTGACATTCTGTGTTACCACCTGAGGTAAAACAGTGTCCTTCATTTTTATGGGCACCACACTACACAATAAGCAAAATGATAATCTACTGGAGAGTGTATCAGTATACCTCCACCAAGTAGAAATATTAGTGCGTAGCTCTTACGAAAGTGTAATAGGACAATTTTGCTTGTATGACTGATTACAGTAATCAGCAATCACATCAACGAGGTCCACTGATCTGCACAAGCTGTTGGTTCTCTGTATGATCTGAAAAGTGGCCACTTGGTCATCCACAGTAAACCTGTGCCCAGACTATACGCACTACACATATACTCTAAAACAAGCCCTGATTCACCTCTGTAGCTAACGGCATTGTAAACATATAATCCTTAAATTGCACAACAGAGACACTGAAATCTAACTCCTTTTTGTATTACTTTCAAGTGCAACAAAATCTTGGCAGCCTTCTATGTAGACACAGTATGTGTATCAAAACTGTTAGAAAATGAATGGAACCTCTCTTAGTTGAGATCTTTGACAGGGTACTTTCTGATTTTATTGGCTCCTACCTTGTAGTGTCCAATGCTAGAAAAACAGGAGCTGAACATACTGTATGTCTATTCAGGAGATAGTCTGCTTTTAAAAAAGAGAATGGGGTAAGTGTTTTCCCCATAGTTCTCTTAAGGGTCATGGGAGGACATATACTAGCGTCCTCCTGTGACCCAAAGCTCAGTATATCGCGAGCTACAGCTCGCGGTATACTGAGGCCAACACAGCTGGGACGGATCCCAACATTACTGTCGAGATCCACCCAGCTGCGTGAGTGACAGCTGGCTCTGCCTATCTAGAGGCAGAGCCAGCTGTGCCCGCCCCCTCCCTGTATATTCCTCCAGACAGAGCCGTAAGTGACAGTCACTGCTCTCTGCAGGGAGATGATCGAGAAGTGAGCAAGCGACGGTATGCGTTTGCTCACTTCCCGATCTATTGAGCCGACGTGTGACAGTTTCATTGTCACAAGTCGGTTTGAACTATGAGGCTGAGTGATTTTCACTCACCTCATAGTTCTCCTTTAACGTACCTTGTCTATTAGAAGGAGGAACTATAATCGAGCATCTCCGTATCCCATTTGCAATCAAAAACAAGGAACTGACAAGACTACAAAATTCCCTGCCTATAGCCATGCTCTATTTACAAAGATCATAAGCGTACCAAGACTTGCTCATTTCCATACCTCTTTTGTTCTTTGGAAATTTCTTCCTTAGTTTGTTTTTTAGAATAGTCAGTTTTGAAGCAATTTCAGGTGTTGCTATATAGAAATCCGCTTGCACTACATCATTCAGAATCTGCAATTACAAAATTCTATTAGTTTTGCATTTTATTTAACTGAGAAATATAGATAAAGTTTAAAGAGACCCTGTCACCTCCTCATACTTTTTTTATTTGACCACAGCTGAGAGAAGTGCCACAAAAATATTAAGTCTTTTCTTCATCAAAAATATTTTCTCTAGGTTCAGTTACAGTTGCTGTTTTACTGCTCCAGAGATCCACAATTCTGGGAGTGTAGGGCCATTCCGGCTCTTTGCTGCTCATATCCCCAGGTCCCAAAAAACAAAGTCCTTTCTCAGTTCCCAGGGACTGTGTGCAGCAGTGCACGTCCGTGTTATGCACTTCTGCATTTGGCAAAGTTATTATGCAGCATTGCTATCAGCTGAGGTCACAAAGCTGAGTAACAACATAGGCAAGAAAGACAAATTTACTGTAAATATGTGGGATCACTGTGCCACATTACTTGATTGAGAGGTCTGTAGCTGCTGGGGCCACTGATATCAAGGACAAGATGCAGAAGCAAACAGACTTGGGGAAATTTATCAAAGCAATTGCAACAGTTTTAGCTTCTTAGATAATTTTTTTTATCTGCAAATCTTTTTAGCAGCTCCTTTTTTGCGCCTGTTTTGACCAGAGCGTGCACTATTTTCTCGATTGCACCTGTTTTGCAAAAGTTTGCAAATGTTTGCATCTGCGCTTGTCCTGCGGCTGTCTGAAACTGGCGCATCACCTAACAAAACAATCGCAACTTAAGAATTCCCCATGACCTCTTCTTGAAAAAGCGACAGTTATGCTTTTTGCCTGGAGTTGCAAACCTTCTTTCCTGGAGTCTATTTAATCTCATTTATGAACATTACACTAGCAACATAAATCTGGTGCAAATATATCCCATGTGACCATATGCGAGTTCAAACACTTGCAATTGCTATGATAAATTACCCTCAGTGTGTTTTATAATATTTAATTTTAAGGCAACACATATGTGCAGGTATTTGGGATAACCTAAAGTAGTATTAAGGTCTGGTCGTTTTTCACCTTAATGCCATCAAAGAGGGAAGGGCGGTGGCCTGCCACAGGGCTGTGTGTGTCTATGGACGCACACAACCACGAGCGCGCACGTGTGCCTCCATTAGAATGATGGTGGCTCCCGTGCAGGTGGCGGGGGAAGAGTGCTGCGGGGACCCACTAGAGAGCGAGGAATAAAAAACTTTTAAAAGAAAAAAAGCAACGGCCTTCAGCAAAGGAAGGTCTCCTTAAAGAAGACATTTAAAAAAAATTAGGCTTTAATATCACTTTAAAGATGCCGGAGAAACTGAGAATCAGGTGCAAACTGCTGCTGGGGACAAGGTCTGTTTAAAAGCACAAACTGCAATTTGCCTAAAATTCTAAAAGTATACGAACAAGTATACTAACAACCAGAACTCTAGACAACTGCATAAACCTCTATTCATCTCTTTAAAAAAAACGGTCAGACTTTTTAAACTCCAATATGCGTTAAGATCGGTCATTTTATTTATGATCCTCTATACAACAAAATGTTCACATTGACCTATGGGCAACTTTAAAAGCCTTATAAAAGCATATGATGTAAACAGTGTTAAAATGGTGAATGCAAACGCAATAATAATCCAACCAATGCATTACAATTCTCATATCTGAATCACAATTTTGGGGGGATTTGAACCACTTGATTTTTGAATTGCTAAAATGTTTTTGAATGTTAAAATCTGAACACACACTGGCAGGGTTATGCACAAAAGGGTAAAGAGTTTGGAGAAGGCAGGAGAAGTGAACACTCCAGTTCAGCTATGTTATCCTAGATTGTTTACTTCTCCAGCCTTCTCCAAACTCTGCACCATTTTGTGAATAACTCTGTGTATATTTTCTAAAAGCAGAGGCCCTGTAGAAAAAAAAGTATTAGCTGCAATTGTGTTTGTCACATGATATTTGCACAAAAGTTTACCAAATTGATACTTTTAGAAAAAAAAAACACTAAAATTAATTATACCCATCTTCTTTTGGTAGAATATAAAATACAGGGTCATGTCAGGTAAATAGATACCAAACATGTCAAGCCTTAAAATTGCGCATGCCCTGGCAATAGTGAGAAAATATGGTACTCAAAATTTTCCATAGGTGCTGCTTTAAAAGCCTTTACTGCTCATCAATTTAGAGTTAAAGGAGAACTATGAGGTGAGTGCTTTTCACTCACCTCATAGTTCTAGCCGACCTGTGACAATGAAACTGTCACAGGTCGGCTCAGTAGATCGGGAGGTGAGCGCACACATACCGGCGTTCGCTCACCTCTCGATCCTGTCACGCCTCTCTGCCGTGACAGGGGAGGGGCTGGATACCCCGCTCCGATCCGCCAGCGCTGACTGGTGGATCGGACGGGGGAGGGTACAGCTGGCTCTGCCTCTAGATAGGCAGAGCCAGCTGTCAGTCACGCAGCTGGGCGGATCCAGGCACAATTGTCGGGATCCGCTTCAGCTGCGCCGTCTCAGTATACTGCGAGCAGCAGCTCGCGGTATACTGAGCCTAGGGTGACGGGAGGACGCTAGTTTGTGTCCTCCCGTTACCCTAAGGGGAACTATGGGGAAAAGACTTAACCCCATAGTTCTCCTTTAACAGCAAATCATGGCCCTAAAAGTTTTACTCTCGGACGTTCATGGCGATACCCAACATGTGTGGCACAACTGATGTTTGCATACACATGCATGTCCTACACATGTAGATGGAGAGGGAAGTGACAGGGTTGCTTCTAATTTTTTCTTTACTTTTTAATGTATTTTTTTCTTTTTCACTAAAAGGAGAACTATGAGGGCAGTGCTTTTCCCCATAGTTCTCCTAAGGGTCACGGGAGGACATAAACCAGTGTCCTCCCATGACCCAAAGCTCAGTATATCGCGAGCTACAGCTTGCGGTATACTGAGACCGTCGCAGCCGGGACAGATCCCGACATTACTGTCGAGATCCACCCAGCTGCGTGAGTGACAGCTGGCTCTGCCTATCTAGAGGCAGAGCCAGCTGTGCCCGCCCCCTCCCCCGTCTGTTCCGCCAGTCAGCGCTGGAGGATCGGAGCGGGGAGGGAATCCCTACAGGGAGCCGTGAGTAACCGTCACGGCTCTCTGCAGGGACATGATCGAGAAGTGAGCGAGCGACGGTATGTGTTCGCTCACTTCCCGATCTATTGAGCCAACGCGTGACAGTTTCATTGTCACACGTCGGATTGAATTATGAGGTTGAGTGAAAATCACTCACCTCATAGTTCTCCTTTAACTTTACTGCTATCACAAGGGGGCTAACGAGCCCCTATGTGATTGCATTGGCATGTGACAGGTTCTCTTTATGGAGATATTAGTGGTCTATGAGACCCCTGATATCTCCCCTGCCCTCCAATGCAGACGATCAAGCACAGGACTGTACTTGTTTGGCTGTTTCAGCCAGGCTTGTACCAGCACCTTTACAAGCTGGTACAAGTGATTGGGCATCTCTACAGCCGTCTAGATCACTTGTAATTTAAAGCCCTCCACCTGCTCTAAAAAAAATGCAGCGATCACAGCTGCAGCAGCAACAGCCATGATCTTAATATAACCACTTCAAGATGAGGCTGCACAAGTATGTCCTATGGTCTCCAGGTGATTAATAAAGTGTGGATTTTATTTAGCGATAATGCATTATAAGTTTGTTTTCTTATGTCTGTCTGTGGTTCAACTACTGATAATTTACAAGGTGAAAGCCTTGTCATTATGCTTGTGAATAATGTAGAGAGATCTCTAAGCATTTGATGAGTGTTTATTTCTGAAGGCAGGCGGAGAGCACAGGGGCAGCACAAGAATTTGATATTCTTTACTGTGGTGGTGAACTGTTATAAGGCATTTGAAGATTTTCTGGAAATAGAAACTTTTTTTTTACCTTTTGCAATTTAGAAACGTAAGAATCGTATTACTGTAATGTGTTTGCAGTCAACATTTTAGGGCTATTTACACCATTTTTAAAAATATAAACTATTGCCTGCGTCATGGATCCCGGGAGCTATTGTTTTGGCAGTGCCTCCTTTGCACCACCCTACTCCCTCTCCCGGTATCCATTCCGTGGTGTGCTCTAAGCTGTCGTTGTATGCATTACTGTCCCCACCGCCCCAGGCACTTGCTTGTCACCTCGGTCTTCCTGCCTTGTTTGAGCTTGGGGAGGGCCGAGCTGGCGACCAATGTCCTACCCTTCTTTCCCCCTCCTCCTTATCATATCTTCTGTATGGTGCCCATCAAGCTCCTGATTAGGGAATTCCCTGCCCGGGTGGTTCCCTGTGCCTCCTTCCTGGTTCTCTGTACCGGTAGTCTCCGGCCTTGAACCCTTGTATAGTGTACCGGCTGGTACACTAACTAGCATTCCCTCTTCCACCTTCCTCTCCACTGCGCCCTCATACCTCCTCATCCCTTCCTTTCCTCCTCTCCTTCTCCTCCCTCCCGTCCCCACCCGCCCTTCTCCCTGATCCCTCTTTCCCGCGTGTGTCTTGTTGTCAAAAGTCTCTCCCTCCTTCTCTACTTCCATGCCCTCTTCCTTTAACCCCTCTGTTGCTCTCCCTACACCGATCTGTGCTGTTTGACGTCCCCCGTACCATCTGCACCGGATGTCTCAGTGTAGGGGACCGTATACCTCCTTGCTCTCTACTCCATTATACCCAAGGTCCGGACCTGATAAGCCCCCCCTATGATGCTCCTTTTCATGTCATCTTAGGTCCTACCCACTATAACTGGACAGCACTACCCTCTTTATACGCCTATAATGATCTTTGGCGCTTGTTTCGTTGATTGGTTTTACAGTTTGCAGGGCGCTGCACAATGTTATGACTGCATACTTTCAATTTGTGTTCCTTGTTGCGGGGCTTGCATGCCCTATTTCTGTTCTCTTATTGATTGTAACCTTTATGTGAAAACAAAAATTATAAAAAAACAAATAAAACCTTTGTGAAAGAAAAATATAAACTATTGTCACAGCATCTAGGTACATTGCATTTTATAAAAGGTTCAATTCTGATAGCATGGTGAAGGAAAGTACAGCATGGACAAAATTAGAGATGCCCCGATACCAAGTACCGTTCTTGGTACAAGTACAGATACTTTGAGCTCCAGGACTAGACTAGAGAAAAATTCAAAAGTTAGGAGGCATCTGTCATTTGTAAGAAGCATACGGAGCTCCTGGGATTTGTACATCTGTTTTAATGTATGATTCTTTTTTTTGAAATATTAATAAAGGGATGCACAGATACCAGTTTTCCAAGTACAAGTACTGATACTTGCCCAAGTACTTACAGAAGCAAGTACTGATACATTTTTGTTTATTGTCATGTGACAGTTTTTCTAGAACAATATCAACTTAATGAATTTAGGACAGTGGTGGAGCGCCACAGCTAGGTCCCAGCTGCAACCGTTGCAACCCTGGTAGTGAACATGCCAAGTATCGGCATTGGTACTCGAAAAGTATCAGTGCATCCCTAGACAAAATCCTGACATGTCACAATATACAGCGATGGTTTCAGTTTTCCTGGAATCCTCCTTTTTATTTCCACAGGATCTGTGAGAGCATTTGGTCTTTCTTCTTTCATATGGTAAATCAGACTGTGAAATTTGCTAAGTATGAAAAAGACAACTGGTAAAGACTCAGTGTGCTTCTTGATCATTGGTGTTATTACTTTGATCATTTAATTGAAGAAGTATCCTGCTAGTATATCTCAGTTTTGCACATATGGCAGCAATGAATCTGAGCTTAAAAATAATACCTCAGGGATGAGTTCAGTCCCTCCAACAACTGCAGCCCCACTGTTTTTTGCAAGCTCAATTTCTTCTGCGTTCTGTAAAGGTAAGAGACAAAAAAAATATACAATTCAGATGTCAATTCCTAATCAGTATTTGTGTGTCGTCACTGAAATATTTTCTTTCCTTTTATAACCCTGTCATTCCAAATACTGGCAGAGAGCAGATGTAAGGAATTCCTTCTCTTCTTCAGATTCCACATACCTTACTAATGCTAACATTCACTCAGCAACAACTTCCCAGGACCAAATAGCATGCAGCAGCTGTGCTCTACTACTGATTCCAAACCACAGCACACCCTACATGCCCTCAATGAGTAATAAGTAAAACTCTTCTTTATGCATGGTTGAGCTTTTTTCACCCACTTCAAAGGCTGAGTCAGCACATAAGGCACATATAAGTTTTTGAATGGCATAACTCTCTGGGATGGTGATGAGATATCACTGCACAAGGGGCAGATCAGAAAATGCTGATGATGTGTGCAAGAATATGGATTATTCTGCTTACCCACATTTACTAAAAACAGAAACACAGCAATAGCAGGGAACAAGTGATACCAATCAGTGAACTGCTAATGCTTTTTAGCGATGAACTGGAAAGTTCACTCTTTTTACTTGAGAACTCGAGTTCTCCAATCCACTCCAGCAAGCTTTTATAGAGCTCTACGCATGTGCTATATGCGTGTCTGCCTATTGTGGCCTGTGATGTGTAACTTCTTTTCTCTGACTGCTGTATCAATACCAGATTCAAAATCTGATTAAAGACTTTTTAGTACTGACACTTTGATAGAAAAGGCTTGTTGAACTGAAAGGCAATCTGCCACGAGAGAAACAAGGATGCTGCCACTGCTGACCAATATGACTTCTTCCATGAATGCTTCAAGATTTCAAGACAAAAGTTACATTTTTCAGGGTACTACTTAAGTGCAATTAACATTTTTAGATGCCCCCTATAGTACAGCAAATCTTCACTTTTTGAGTTAAGGTCCACTTTAAATCACCAACCTGTAACAAGTGTTCAACTCCTGACTCCTGTCCTGGGTCAGTGAATAAGAACCCATTTGAGCTAGTGGATAAGCATAACAGCCAGGCACGTACGAGTCTGAGATGGAATTGTGCAGTGGCAGCAGTGGCGTAACCAGAGTTATGGGCGCCCGGGGCAGAACATTTTTTTCGCCCCCCCCCCCCCCCTCTTTATAAACAATCC